TTACTTGATGCTTTCTCTGTTCCATATGGCCGGCCATGTCTTGGGCAATTAATCATGTTCCAGAATCAGTGGAGTATTCTCCAAAGCATTGGGAGTCAAACATTTTAGTTATACCTGGGCAAGCGTAAGGGGTGGGGAGGTAGCGGGCGTAAAAAAAAAAAAAAAGGAAGAAAGAAAAGCAGGATGAGAAGCTGCTGGCGCCAGAGTTGTAGCAGCTGGCTTCTATAAACAACTCCCCTCTCCTTCTCCTTCTCATCGCCTCTCGCTGCTCCTCCCTTACTTTCTTGCACAAACATGGGGGCATTTTTCAACATCTTTGCCTTTTCATCCCCCCCCAATACACATACACACAAAAAGAGGAGAATACCAAAACTTTACGGCCAATGTTGTTGAATGGAACTATGATATCAAGCTTGCCGTGTTGAGTAAACAGAAAAACAGGCCACCGTTTTAGCCTCCTGAGTCCAAATGGCTGGGTGATAACTTAAAACCATGCCATTGGCTTCCATCATTGCACCATCAAACAAGATGCCTTCATGTGTCCTATAAAGAGGGAGAGGGTCAAAAGGGTATCCAGTAAAGACATACTAGTGCACATGGATAAAGGCCAAGAAATTACAGAACCCATTGAGTGCTGAAAGTGAGAAAACTTCAGGCCTATGATGAGAAATCCAAGGGACAGATTGTTGCTGCTGATCATCCAGGGGCAAAGCAAATAGGAACAGAAGTCCATACAAATTATTATTAAGGTGCATTGGACAAGTTTTACCAATATCTGTGGCCTCAAGGTTTTACGTTTATGCTTTTTAAAGCTGAAAACAAGAGAGAGCATTCCCCCCCCCTCCTTTGCTGCAGGATGATGGTGAGATACTTTCTTTCCACCTCAGTGCATTTGCAAGGGTTTGTTTGCGCAATTTTGAAGTATCGGATGGGTTGTTTGTTTCTTTTTGATGAATCTTTCTCTGCTTGCTGTGCGAGAGCTTTGTTGAACTCGGTGTTCAGCAGACGTGTCCTGTAGAAATGGCAGACATCTCAACAGGAGAACATTGCTTCCCACACCGCTTCTGTTGAAGCCGCAAAAATATTGTCGGGGTTGGGTGGGTGGGTTAACCCGATCCTTCACAAAACCCATTGACTCAGAGTAACATAGTGAGAGTGACATTACTACTTTTAGCTCAGTTTTTGACAAGATACAATATATTCCGACTATGTGTGTGTGTGTGTGTGTGAAAGAAGGGGGGGTGAGGAAAGGTACCTGGTAACATACCTAATAAAGTTTCTCTGAGGATAAAGTGTGAAAAAGCCAACCATGTGTTCCACCATAAATTCATCGAAGGAAAGGGGATATAAGTATAATGTGTATATATTTGTGGGTGTTTTGTTGCTGCGTGCCATTGAATCATTTCCCACCTATGGAAATCCTAGAAATTAGTGACGAGCATGCCATGATGACTCCCGTTCAGATCTTTTAGACTAATGGCCATAGCTTCCTTCATCAAGTCAATCCACCCCATGTTTGGTTATTGTCTCTTCCTGATGTATATGTGCATCCATGTACAGCTATGAAAGATGGAGAGTGAAGGAAGCTGATGGGGGTGGGGAAATAAATTTTTTGAGAAATGTGCTGATGAAGGAGAGTGTTAGAAGAACCATGATCTACTGAAAGGACAAATAAGTGAGTGCAAGATTAAACTGAACTCTCTCTAGAAGCCAAAATGACTCAACTGAGGGCATCATTGTTCTTGTTACAATCTTGATCATTGGAATAGGGATGGCTTGACAAACACAACTCCGCATTCCTTCCTTATCCCATTTTTGTTTGCTATTGATCATTGGCTGTAGACTACTTTTTCTTGAAGTGCGGAGAGCTTAGCAAAGGCTCAGACGTTTAGTCTGTTAATCTCTTTGGGAGGACTAACGAGGACATTAGATCTCCCCTTAAAATCCGCGTTTGTTGACCAAGCAAAGAAGGACTCAGAAGTGGAGTGGGTTGGTGGTTTGTTTGTTTTTTGATCATTTGTGTGAAATGTGGAATATGTGAAATTGTGATACCATCCTGAGGGAAAGGTGGAAGGTGTAGCCTTGTCAAGAATCCACAACCTTCTTGGGGGACAAAGTTATTGATGACCATTATTATCTCAAGAAACCCACCTCTGACTTTCCAGGATCCAACAGCGATTTGTTATCTCTCCGCTGGGGAATTTCAGGATGTGCTTTTGCTGGGGGAGGAGGAGGAGAAGAAAGACAGCTTCAGTGGATCCTAACTGTTAGCGCTCTGCAGAAATTCCCCGCTGAGAGACTGGTGAGATAAGGCAGGTCTACATGTCTTGTTTGTTTATTCTGCCGATCTCCTGTCCCAAGCTTGTCTCAAGGAGGAAGAAAGAGAGCCCAAGAGGTAAAGCTGAGTCTGGTATTCGGAACTGAAGGCATCACTCGGCATCCAGGGGTCTCTGTAGACAATTATCTGTCATTAAAGTTCATTAAATGAATGAGGAGCCCAGAGTCGACCTTACTTTGATGAGACACCCAACATTGGAAAGAAGATCTGCTCATCTTTTAGATACAGGGGTTCTATCAGTAGGGTGTTTTTTTTAATTGATTTCCTAGTTGATAAAGTGGTCGACCAGACCAGATGGGTGGGATATAAATCAAATAAATAAACAAACAAACAAACATCTTCAGCCAGTTTTTAAATTGATTCTGTAATTGATTTCCTAGTTGATACCATCTTCAGCCAATTTTTTGGAACCTTCAACCTCTGACTGTTGGGGCACACATGACCTTTTTTTTAAAAAAAATGTTTGGACCTGTATGCAAATCAGTTCATAAAATGGGATGAACCCTGGAATATCTTTTAATGCACTGCATTTACTGATGTAGGCTGCAGTCTTTCCATAGCTGACGGAAACTGAATGTCTCATTAGAATCAGTTGTGATGTCAATAGAGGTGGATCCTTTTTGGTTTTAAAAGAGGGCTGGGGAACATCACAACCTACAGATGCTCATAGATTACAATTCCCATGATCCCTAACAATTTGATCTTCTAAGCTAGGGCTCAGAGAGGTGGACACCAAGAACATCTTTCTCGCTTTCCCTTGCCAGATTCTTCTGTAATTCATCTACCGCCCACTGGATTTTTCTATACATAGAATTTGGGGGGTGCCGACTTGTCATTCATATCTGAACAGAGAACATCCTGCCAAAGGAATTTTAGAGAGCTACAGGGTGTGCCAAAAGGGATCTGCGACTCAACACAGGATTAGTTTTCTCGGCCCAAATCCTGCTCGCGGAACTTTGCATGGAGGAAGCTGATAATGTCATGAGCTTGTGTCACTAAAATTTATTTTGAATTAATTTAATGTTTCCTCCTCTCCTTCATTTTTAGGTCCTGAGGTTTCATGGGGTTCTCTTCTGCCCTGGGCAAGCCTCAGGACCAGGAGGTGGTGGGTGGGGAAGGAGTTCTAATCACCCAAAGTTGCCGCCAGATCGCCTCCAAGGGCCCCACTGGAGGCATTCAAGAAAAACCTAGGTCATCACCTGACAGATAGGCTTTGACTGTATTTCTGCCTTGAGCAGGAGGGTTAGACTATGATGGCCTTGTAGGCCCCTTCCAACTTCACTTTTCTATGATTCTTTGGTTCTGTGATTCAACCCAGTGGCCATTTTCAGCCTCTAAAGGCTGCTGTTTGGGCCATTGAAGGATCCTTTCCCCATTCTGAGGCTCCCAACGTCTTCCTAAGGGAGCCCCAGAATCTTTAGAAAGAGGACAAAACAGGAAGCATTTAAATAATCTAAGATAATTTTTTGTGGTGTGAGTGAGATTTTGGTCAAAGTAAGTGGGGGAGGGACAGGGCGTTGAAAGAGCAAAGCAGAAGTCTCTTGAAACCAAATGTGTGGAATTAAACTTGCATTAGCCCAGCGTATATAAGAAGCAACTCACTATAATCTCTCCCCAGCCAGGGTGGATTTGATTTAAATCAAATTGATTTAAATCAAAACCACCCCTGGCTGGGGAGGGATTATATTTGATTTAAATCGCAATTCAAATTTTAAAAATAGAAATATTTTTGACTCACTATAATCTCTCCCCAGCCAGGGTGAATTTGATTTAAATCAAATTGTTTTGATTTAAATCACAATTTATATTTATATTTGATTTAAATCACAGTTCAAATTTTAAAAATAGAAATATTTTTTGGGTGATTTAAATTGAAATAAACATATTTTTTAAAAAATTTAAATTGTGATTTAAATCAATTTGATTTTTGTTTAAATGTTGATTTCTATCCACCTTGCTCCCCACACACTTTTTATTCTGCCCTTAGCATGAGGCAATAAGCAAGCTCCATGTGCGATTTCCAATAATAAGTCAGCAACACAGAGCAGAAGAAAAAGGATTCCATCTACCCTGTTTCCCCGAAAATAAGACCTCACATGAAAATAAGCCCTAGTGGGATTTTTCAGGATGCTCGTAATATAAGCTCTACCCCCAAAATAAATCCCAGTTAAGTGCAACCCTGCCCTTCACCCTTGTACAGCAACCAGAAGAAGATGACATGACTGTATTTGAATAAATGTAGATTGTTGTACATGAAAACAAGAAAACATCCCCTGAAAATAAGCCCTACTGTGTTTTTTGGAGCAAAAATTAATATCAGACCCTGTCTTATTTTTGGGGAAACACGGTAGTGAAAATAAGGCCTCGAATGCCCAGCCTGTCGTGTTACTTAGGGCGATGAAGCTTTAAGGTTTTACCTCACATTCCATATACGTTGATTAAATACCAAATAGATGGTGGCCATTTTTGACCATCATTTACGGTATTGATTGGAAAGCAGTGCAACTGTAATAAAAGGAGCCATTGATTTACTGTCTCTATTTGCTTATGGGCTTTTTAATTAATTTTATGCTTTGTTTCCTCTTTTCTTTTTTTTATATATATAATATTTATGGTTTTTTCCCCCCTTTCTCTCTCTCTCCTCCCCACCTTTGCAAACAAGACAAGCCATCTACTCTGTGAACTCCGGAAAGAAGGACAGGTGGAAGAACAAAGAAAGGAAAGGATTGAATGTTTGTTGCCTCTGCTTGAGGAGCGCCACGAGCTACGCCAGGAATGGTTCGTGAGGTGAGAAACTGAGAGGAAAGCTCCATCTTTTTTAAAAACTTAAATTAAATACAAAGCATTTTTCTGTGGGGTGAAACATACAACCATGATCACAAACAGCTTCGGTTTGTATTTTGTGCCAGGTAGTGATATTGACTTGTCCGTACTTTGGGTCCAAATCTTTCCAGGGGTGGAAAAGTTATGTCCGGCTTGCACCACTTCCTTTTCCTCACGCACAGATTTCTTCTCCCTGTGTAGACCATTGGGACGCCCAAGAGAAGATGGGGATAAAACATGGTTCTTGATTTCTAGCCTTCGATTTACAGTAGCTTTTTGTTGACAAGGGGAAGAGGTAGAGGTGAGAGGTGACGCCTACTTCTTCTGTGGTTTGCGATGCCTCCATTTCCCTCACACCAGCCAGGACAAGGTTCTTGACCCAGGTGGTTGCTGGCCCATCATGGATCCATGGTTTGGGACCTTGCTACTTGGTGGACCATCTTTCACTAAAAACATCCACCTGTGCCACCTGATCCTCCAAGGTTGTCAAACCGAGAAGGCACAGGAAATCAGCCAGAGGTTGGGAGTTCGATCCCACGCTGTGCCTCCTATGAGCAGAACCAACCTGCGTAGCCTTGGGCAAGCTGCAAAGCCCCAGGATGCCTCCAGAAGAGGGGAATGGCAAACCACCTCTGAGTATTCTCTGCCTGGAAAACCCTGGAAAGAGCTGCATAAGTCAGAATTAAGTTGACAGCACACAATTATGATTATCCAGTATTTTTGTGACGTTGGCTGGTATTTATATGGGGCGTATTCTTGTTGTGCAACACCGTTGGCTTTGTGCTTTTATGGGTTGGGAGGCAGCAAAATTGGCATGAGTTTCACTTTCTGTTGCTAGCGTGTGTCAAAAAGTATAGAGTGTCTTGTTAATGTTGGTGGCATTTTTTAAAATGAACCTTTGGGGAGTTGCCTGCTCTTTTATCAACAGTGGTAATTATCAGCTGGTCAGCTGGCCCAGTTCTTGCTCTGAATACATGAAACCAGATGCCAGTAAAATTAACGCGAGCCCTACAGCTGGCATCGTGGAGTCCATGGACGGATTCCTGAGAGTCCGCGTTGGTGTAAGGTGGGCTTCTGCCAGGATACACCAGGTGTGCCATGTCCAATTTAGCCCTTCAGGCAGCCATGATGTGGAATACACCATGGTCCCTGGTTCCTTCAAAACAGCCGTCACAGCTATCAAATATGACACAACATCTCAGCGTGATGGCACCGCATGGATTTCCATAACACCACGGAGCCCCTCTGACACACAGAATATGAGTGTGTGCCTCAAGAAGCATAGCTCTTGTCTTTTTGTGTCCTGAAGGAGGGAACAGATACGATTTTCAGAGTTTGTAGTCAAACTCTCCCCAATTTGTAGCACTTGAGCTGTTTTATATACTCTCTGTCCCTTTCTCCCTTCGTTGGATTTCCCCCCCACCCTTCCTGCAATTATAGAATCATAGAATAATTGAGTTGGACGGGGACGTATAAGGCCGTAGAGTCAAATCCCCTGCTCAATGCAACCTTCAGTGTTGGAGCACCCAATATCTCCTGAGGTCATTGGTTCCATTGTCGTACTGCTCTAACACTTCAGAAGTGTTTTCCTGATATTCAGCCTGAATCTGGCTTCTTGTAACTGGAGTCTGTTGTTGCGTATCCTGCACTCTGTAATGAAGGAGAACAGATCCTGGCCCTCCTCTGTACGACTGCTTTTCTAGTATTTGAAAAGTGTTATCCTATCACTCCTCTTTCTTCTTTTCTCAAGGCGAAACATGCCCAGCTCTTTCCGTCTTTCCTCCTAGGGCTTGGTTTCCAGTCCCCGGATCGTCCTTACGATGAGCTCAAGATAGTGGCAATTGGGTGTTTCTCAAAGGAACAGAGGCTCTGCCTTCCCATTTTTGTTGCAACACTCCCACTTCTGGAAGTTTCCAGGAGTTGAAAATGGGGGAAACCGGTTTTTCTTTCTATCTGGGCCATCCACGGGCCACAATAGTGACCCACACAACAATCCCACGGTGTACCTTGTCCATCTCAATCCAGTTCTGCCTTTTTTTTACTCTTCACTGTTTTCTGCTTTTGCTCCCCTCTCTCTCCTTGAACAACTACCGATTTACTCAGAGGCTGGAGTCTGTAGACATAATTTCGCGTCTCTGGAACAAAAAATGTTAAATATTTGCAGGCAGGGGGTGGGGGTTAGCAGGACAGGGAAGAAATGGGAGATGAGTGGGAGGGAGGGAGGGGAGACTTTCGAGAAGACGAAAGGCAGGCCTCATTAAAACGGAGCACCTGAAAGAAAATTTCAAGAGCATGGTGTCTTGAAAGCTTTAGAAAGACAATGCCTCCAGAGGATTAAATAACTGTAATCTTTCCCCCTGCTCCACCCTGTTTTCAACTCTATTTGATGTTTCCCATTACCGTTGACCTGTCTTAAAGAGTCCCCTGCACATTTTGGACTGTGACCATACTCTACGCCTTTCCCTCCATCAAAAGCTTGAAGAGATGCCTGGAATGAGGCCCTTTGTGATACTACTAGTAGCCACCCGAGGATGGTGAAAGTTATAAAACACCCATCACAGTTCTGGCAACACAGCCTGTGTTTTAGAGATCAGCCTATTGTATACTTTGGAGTTACACAAGAAAAATATGCTCCGACAGGAAATAATTAGCGCTTGTCAGAGGCCAGGCAATAGGTTATAGTATTTTACTTTCAGCAAGCTATCAGGGGATCAGCTAGATTAGATAATAGATTTTTCTCCTCTCCCACATCTCTTCTCTGGAAGTTAAATACAGATTACTCTAATTACCCTGCACCGCGCATCTGAGGAGACTTATTGTGAACAATGCAAACTTGGAGAAATTTAGGTCAAATAAATGAGAGGGAAAGCAGCCAGGGGTAGGGTGCAAATAAATTCTTCAAATCTTTGAGTGTATTTTAGGTTCTTTATAGCAGTGGTCCCCAACCTTGGGTCTCCAGATGCTCTTGGAATACAACTCCCAGAAGCCCTCACCACCACCTCTGCTGGCCAGGATTTCTGGGAGTTGAAGTCCAAGAACATCTGGAGGCCCAAGGTTGGAGACCACTGCTTTATAGGGTTCCTGGCGGCTTGTCTCTGCCTTTCAGTGGAAAAAAATGGGAATACACAACTTGATAAATCAGGTCCCTCCTGTCCCATGATCCTTGTAAGCCAACAATGGGTTCAGGGTTGCTGTAGGTTTACTATTCCAGTCCAGTCAGCGATCATGACTGAATGATGTTTTCAAGGTTAACTCCTGAAGGAGTTCTGGCCCATAAGCATGTTTGGAGTTCCAAGGGAAGCTAAGAATGGGCCAGAAGTGGGAGAATCTCTTTCAACCCAATCTGTTATGGGGCGCCACATTCTTCTGACAGGCAAGAGGACAATGCAGAAGAGTGGGACCAAGCATAGGAGCGTGTTTTTACTTTGAGGCTCCCCCTCAGAGTGACTAAAGAGAGAAGCTTTCAGAATGGGAAGAAGACTACGAAACATGGGATTTCCATATTTTTGAACTGTGGCTAGGAAAACTATTTAAGCAAAATAAGGAGGAGGAAATGAACATTGCTCAATCAAATGCTGTTTTTTTAAATTATTGAGAATCATCTTGTTGTTGTTTTTTTACTACTCGTATTGGAATCAGTCATTGTTCCAAAGCAGAAGATTGTGCTTCAAATTTATCCCATTCTGTTGGTCTGGCCATTTTTTTGTTTTTGTTTTTGTTTTACTCTGCCCTCCCAGAATCCCCCAGTCAACATGGGCATGAAGGAAGGAAGGAAGGAAGGAAGGAAGGAAGAAAAGAATTAACATGTGGAGGTCAACT